CAGGGGTCAAATCTGGATTTCTGAAGTGGGGGAGTCAAAAGATCATGAGTTTAATCAAATGCCCTTGACAAAACTAAATACGACCCTCTGAGCCTTAAAGGATGATTCCAGGTTATTTCCGCAAGTAAATGTGAAAGGCTTTACTTGATCTTGGTTACACACAGAGCGACTGGTAAATTATTCTATCATTCTAATGTCACGCTAACACACATATACAGTAGCCTAATATTTAAGAATTATATTTTCGAAACAGTGTTAAAGTTGCATTCATTTATTGCAGTTATAGTTCATAGAGCTGCAAACTTGCTGCATTCCTCTGTTAATAAATTACTGTATGCATATTTTTTGTTTTTGTTTTTAAAAACTGATTGTTGATAAAACAAAAAAAACAAACAACTGTATGCAGTAAAGTAGTTTAAAAAATTGTTGCTTTTAAGTAACTCACAGCAATTTCCCTGCAGGCAGACATGGAAATACCAGTGCCTTCTATCTGTTTCAGTGCATACTCCTTCTCATCCTTCCTGTAAAAACACAAACACAACATTACTAAAGGTGAGGAAAAACAGCTACGCACATACTGTAAATACAACACTTACGTCACAATATTAAATAACTCTATTTACATGAAAAACTAATAAACAACTATCTATTGTATTTCAGTAAATAATATGCAAGACATGAATAACAATATATTATTCATTTAATTTTCAAATGATAAGGTAATAAAAGTATTAACCATTAACAAGTATTCATTTACACAATAATGTACTTTAATTTTTTGCTAATATCAAAAATACATTTTGCTAACCATAATAATAGTTCATTTAAAATAAATAATGTGCATTGATATTACAGAATTGAATAATAACCAAGCTATGCGAAATTTACAAACAATGCGATGTGAAAAGTTATTTACTTACTGCAGTAAAAATATATATAAAAAAAAAATCACAATTAATCTCAATAGACTGTTCACAGTCGGCAAAAGTCAAAGAAAATGTATTAATTTAGAATATACATCAAAATATCAAACTAATCAATATCACAAATTTTTCACAAAAAATACAAAAAAGCAGATACACTTCTCAAAACTGTATGGCCACATAAAGCTCATTAGACAACTGAAATATTATGTTGGTCTTCTCAGCACCCTTTGAGCAGTGAAGCAGGTTTCTCTATCAGCGTCTCAACTTAGAGTTCATGATTCTACCAAAAAAAGATCTGTGAACCAATTTCTATCTTGTAATACTGAAGCAATATTTGTTACTATTTCTCCTCTAATTTACATGATTACTCATGGTTATTTATTTATTGCTAATCAGGCGAATAGAATGAACTAAATATTAAATATCCATTTTCTCCAAACTAACTACTTTGCAATGATTTTAAACCAACCGACCAAAAGATCATTTTTTAGTAAATGTACAAAGCCCGCCTCAAGTTGGCATGTCCCATTAACATTTCAGAACCACAAAATGATTCTTTGTGCCTTAATTTCCAAAACAATATCTATACTTTAATTATTTTAAAAATAAACTCAGTGAAACATCTAGCATGCAAAGCGTTCTTGAGTCAACTTTGTTAAAAATAAACAACACTTGTTTGTATGCTTTGTTACCCAATGCAATGAAATGCACTGTACTGTAGGTGCTTTAGCGTTAACCATTCTATTTCCCTCAGTATCCAGTGATGGCTGGCAGCCTGCGCATGTATTTTAATAGAGATCGTCAGGGCAGGGCAATCTAACGCTTCAAATGTGACTTTCAGAAATGCAAACCTGAGAGAGGATGCGGTGGTTCTGGATTGTTTCTAAATTATAATCATAATTAATGTGAATTGTATCATTTCTGTGCCACTCCATCACCAGTTGTTGTCTGCCCATCTGGTGAGACAAACAGACAGTTAAGCGAATGGTGTTGTGTCAGACTTTATTCTGGCATTACACTGCTTACTAGAGATGGAACGATTCACTCAACTCACCATTCGATTCACAATGTTTTTTAACAAAATGAGATTTAAGACAAATTGTGTCCTTTTATTATTGCTTGGACAAAATACTTCACGTTTCTTTGTGAAATTGAAATATAACACTATAATAATATACTAATATAGCACTTGCATATTATTGCTCTTTTGTTGGTTTTGATTGCTTCTATTGTCCTCATTTGTTAGTCGCTTTGGATAAATAAAATTTAAATTTAATGTAAATGTAAAAAACAAAACTAAATTGAAATTTTAAAACAAGCCCCAAATCAAATAAATAAGTAACACAAATAAAATAAATATCTTCATATAAACAAACTCAGGCTTTGTTTGTGCTCTTTCCATTTAAAATTAGAGGAAGCCACTGCATTTTAATCACGATACAAACAAAGATGCTGCATACAACATGAGCAGTTTTTAATTTAAATTAGATTGTATAATTTCTAAATTTGAAACAAAAACAGAATGGTTTGACTTCAGTTTTGTGAAACTATACATAAAACATATCTGAATGAAACCGAAACAGCAGACGAGCTGAACGAGATGCAGATGCACTCTCTGCCAGCAGGTGGCGCTTACAGCGTTTACTGGTTTCTGCTGTTAACAAAGCAGCACTGCACTTATGAACTTTAATATGCATTATACAGAAGCAAGATGAAAAGAAAAAATACCATCGAAAGACAGTAAGTTCGCCTCAGACATACATTCATATAAACTCCTACCCTAATTGAATCGTGATTTGTTTAGCATCTCAACCGGGTTCACACACAGAAAACTGCTTGGTTTGATTGTGACGTCTGCGATTCATGCGTCACAGCACTACTGACAATAGCCTATGGAGCTCTTTTGAAACATAAACAGTCCACAGTTCTCGAATTAATAATACCATTAATTAAAGTGTTCACCATTAAATGAATGCTGATGCAACACTGTACATTTTGTACAATCATGCACACCTCATTCAACAGCTCATTACCTACAATTTGTGTTTCAATAACAAAATGCACACTTTTACTGCTGCGGGACTATGGGTGGGAACCACTGGCCTAATCAAGCCTAACTAATTGAAATATTTTGTACTCTTCTGTATCATCTTTTTTTTTTTTCTCTCCTGCAGTTCAAATATTGTAATTTATAGTTACACATGACTAATTGGGAGCACTATGCATGCACAATCAAAAAAACCCAGCCTTACAAACCTGACATGGTATAGTGAAGATAAACTGATTTATTATATTAAGATTCTTCCATGAGTGGTTATACATGCTTTTGAAATTAAAATACACCCAAAAACCATAGGAAGCTACGAGTTTTGCACTTGCAACTTACTGAAACAATCTGCACAGTTTAAATAGCAGCTCTGGTTTCCCCCACAATCAAAATACATGCAATGTAGACGTGCAAATGAGTGAGCCAGCATTCTATGCAAGCAAAGGCAGATATTGTGATCATGTTCTTTGTTGATGGAGAAGTGAATGCATCTGAATATTAAAGAAGATTTACTAAGCCTCAAGTTGTTTCAAACCTGTTCTTCTACTCAACACAAAAGATATTTTGAAGAATGTGTGACCCATACTCGGAATTTGTGCTCCCATCTACGTGCACACACACACAGCAGTGAGTAGTGAACACACACGCACACACACACACATGCAACACATGGACTCCTGCACATATAATCTCCTGTACAAATGAGTATATAAACACACACACACACACTGCTGAACACATAAGCATATGAACTCCTCTACAAGTGAGCATGCTGTGTAAACTCCAGCACATAAGAACTTCTGCACATGTAAACATGCATTCCTGAACATGTGCACTGCTTTTAGGAAAATGTGATCTTCTGCACAAATAAACAGGTGAACTCCTGCAGACACTGAACGACACACATAAACATGACACCCAGCACGACATGAACTGCTGGACATCCAAGCATATAAACTCCAGCACATGTGAAAGTACGAACACTTGAATCCCTGCATATAAGAGAAGGTAAACACGTGAGCTGCTGCACATAAGAGTGAGACATGCATCACGCTGGTTTGGGGGAGGACCGTTTGAAGTGCGTCCATGAAAACAAAAACAATCACACAGGGTAGAGATAAAGGCATAACTCCCCCGATACATATGAACACCCTGCACACACACACACTGTCAGCAAAAGCACGTAGAGTGAGTGAAACGCGTGCATCTTACCCGTCTTTACGCTTCGCTTTGTAAACATGCCCGTATGTGCCGCGACCCACTTTACAACCTTCATATTCAAACAGATCTTCCACTCTCTCCCTCTCGGCGGCGAGCTTCGTTTTGAAGTCGTGGTCCATTTTAACCCATAAATATTTCTTAATTTACAATAAAATAAAATATTAATTATTACATGCATTAATTAAATGATCCGATCGTTTTATTACCCCACCATTTCCTTGTTTGGGATTTTGGTCGGCTCCGCTTAAAGGTCACGTGTTCGATGACGCACTTTATTGTGGCGGATTGCCTTCTGGGAAATGTAGTGTGGTTCGATCAACCCACCGGTTTGAGTTAACGACGGGAGGACGTCTGTGAACTACAACGCGCAAACCGCGATGTTGGACGTCGTTCCAGTCCCTTTCAAATTTTTCTGGCCGTTGGAATATTCAAACTTGGCATCAGCTGTAATTCCAACAGAAGTACGATAATAACTTGTGTCCTCGAAACGTTCAAAGTACTGTCACACAATGAATAAAACGTGTAAAATACACGAGCAAACCATAATTTTTCTTCAACAGACTAGTGAATAAAGTGGCACCAATTCCCAATGCACTGGCGCAGCGTTATAGCAAACGCAAATGTTTATTAGTCAAGGGCATAATACAAGCTGCGCTACTGCAGTGTGAACTCATACTTTTACGCAACCGCCAATTTTGATTGACAACAGCTACAGCCAATCGTTGCTGACATGAGGGCGACTTCTTGGCCGTGATTGGCCGCAATGCGGATGACGTCAGCGGGAAGGTAATAAAAGCTCCGCGCAGGCTGCCATTCTGTGCTTACACAGTATGGCCGGAGACATTAGCTAACATTTGCCTACGGTATTCTCTGTAAAAGGGAAGACGGTAAAAGAAAACAAGGCAACTACATCTGGACTGCTCAAGGACTGTAACTAAGCTAATAAATTATAACAACCAACAAAGGACTAATTTAACTGGGATTCCATCCGACGGTTTAATTTCTGTTGTTGGGGTCTGTTTGTGTCACGATGGAAGAGAGCAGTGCACACTTCTTCGAGGGGACCGAGAAGCTCTTGGAGGTGTGGTTCTCCCGAGAAGACGAAAGCAAAGGAACCGGGGATCTGCGCACTATCCCCAGGTGGGTGACTCCGTCCGACCCGTAGCTGGGACTGGATTTAAACGAGGCAGAGTTAGTCATCCACGACAATCAGTCGCTTTAATCGTGCTTAAACCCTGCTGTGGCGTTAGTGATAGTCACACTGACAGTCCTGAGTGAGCGAGAGTGACATGTGGCTCTGGCTCTGACACCCGAGGCGTGTTCAGCACTTCTGACCATTTTGACACCATCCCCCTTTACTCTCATTCATCTGAGCTGTCAGGACTCAGAGGTTTTATTTGTTTTGCTTGCTTAAACTACTCCGAATCGTCATGAGCAACATATTATTCTGGCCTTGTCCGTGCAGTTATCGCCTGTCACTCGAGTCGTGGCTCGTTCCGAGTGATGTTTTGCTTTATTTGGAACAAGCCATGTTTGTGTCTGAATCCGTTATTGGCGAGTGCTGATCGATTGATTAGCCGCTAGCTAGCTAGCTGGTATGGCGCCATAGCTAACACGCCTCCTCAAACACAGCTGTCCATCAGTGCTGGAGTGCGTCTGTCCACATCGACGCATTCTGGATGAAAACATTTGCAATTGCAGTTGAAATGCTATTGATTGCGTTGCAAGAGAGCTCTATTTTTGGATGGTGTCATGGCGGTTGATCCTGCGCCGCAGCCTCCATGTGACAGTCACGAGGCTGCGTCACACGCCGTAAGCTCCGCCCACGCGCTGTGATTGGTCGGGAGCTCCGGTCGCTCATTGGCGGATATTAAATGTGCGCACTGCGCGGACAGCTGATGGCATACAGCAAAAACTACTGCGCATGCGCACATCAATATTGCGTAACTTTTCTCACACTGTACAACAATAATGACTATTTTTGCATTATTGTAAGGGGTAGACGTGAATAAAACACAATCTTATAAGTAGAAAATTCAATTTATTGTTAGCTTCCGGTTTTTGCTGAGCTTGTAGATCAAAGACTGTGAGACAGAAAACTTCATTTTGCAACATTAGTGCAACATGCAATAATGGTTGGACATTAGAATGCACTTGTCTTGATGTCTATGTATAATACAGAGTTACGATGACGACAGAAAACATCTAAAAATAATACTAAATAAACACTTTTTATATAGAAGTGTTGTTGAAATATATGTTAAAGTCAGGTTTCCAGCTGCTATAGAAAATAAGTGTGTAAAATATGAAGGCGTGAGGACCGAGCAGTTCCTCTAATGCATCTGATGTATCTGCAGGAAGAACTGAAAGCTGATCTCTGTGGTTTCTCTGGGTACGGCTGGCAGAATGAATGATGAGGGCTATTAGTTTCCTCTGGGAAAGCGCTAACACTCAGAGATACTAGAAAGAGGATCGTTGGAGTCGGTTTCCACATACGTGCTGCAGGCCCTTCGTCCTCCTACAGCATGAGCAAGCACTTTACTCAAAGTAAAGTCTAGCCATTCATTCATATTAGCTGTTCTTGATACACACAATCAAATAATGTTTTCACAGTTTGTATCATTTGACCATTACAGTTTGAGTGGAAATCAAAAAAACAGTCAAAATATTTTGATGACCTTTTATCTTGTTTTTTTTTATATGGCTCATATTTTATCAACAGCTACACTCATCCATACTTCTGAATGGTTTAGATTATAATTATTTAAAGACTTCATTTATAGTTAATAACACACGACCAATGGGACATTAGTACCTGTAGTTGAAGAAACGCTAATACATAATAAATGATGTATGGTTATTGAGAGGGAACCTATAGCAGTGTGTTACTAGAGACTCGTGTTACGGTCGTTGGTGTAATCTGGAAACGGTTTGACGGTCAAGCATCTGACCACTGAATCAGTTTTTTAACAAGACTTTTACATGTCATACAGCTTATCCCAAATGTTTATTTGATTAAAGGTAACAAGTAGGCGATATGGCAAAAAAATGAAATCTCGAGATTTTTTTCAGAACGTTTGACCAATTCTCGATTTTTAACAAGTCTACTTGAAAATGTAACTGGGTCAAAGACGTTAAGATGTCCGCATCAAAAGAAATGTATCGAAAGCACATTAAATGCAAGTAAAGTGTCTACTTTTAAGGTTTCAAATAAGTTTTTGGGGAATAAAATGTCAAAATTTGGTTTAAATGTTACATTGTCATTTAGTGGAACACGATATTGTCAAACAGCATGCTTATTCTGACGTGTACATATTAAAATATATACAAAAATAAGTTAGCATATAAAATTTTATTGGGTTTTAAATGAGTAAAAAAAATTCTTACTGACCAATGGGCAAAACCTAGGATAGAGGCAAATTTAAATGTAAAATAACTAATTAGTATTTGGGGTGAAAGTAATTAGTTTAATATGTCATAAATTGATTTTTGTTGTAAATATGCCTGACAAGATTGTTACACTGAATGACATTTTAGTGGGTGTCTTCTGTAAATCAGGGAAAAATGTAGGATATTTATTATTTGCTCGGAGAAACAAAAACAAAAATACAATTACATGAAACAGAAAACTTTTAATTTTTTTTATTTTTTATTTTTTGGAAAAGCAATAACAATTTAAAGCAGTATTGTTTTTATGCTTAAACCCTTTTTCATCTTTGACCCAACTACAACATGATTCAAGTAACGTTTGTTAATATTTCTATTCAAAATCGTGATTCATCGATTTATAAAAAATAAAATCGTGGCAAAACATTAAATTCGAATTACTCGGAAAAATCGCCCTGCCCTAGTAACGAGTCTAGTCCATATGTGTAACCCAGGAGACTCGGCAGAGATTGATGGAGCTTCTGAATACATTTGACGGGTAAATTTGAGCAAATTTGGTTCATCTCTGGAATAATTTGACTTTCTGTGGTCAAATGTTTGTATAATAACACTAAGCTTAGGGCTGAGCAATATGGCCCAAACAATGATCACCGTAAAATGTTTTCATATCAGTTGATATCGGTAATTATCACGATAAATTTCTAATCTTTTTCTCTCCAGTTTAAAGGCAGATTTCTGCTCCATAAGTGAAAGTTGTAGAAACCAGACCATTAGTTGTGGTTTTAAACCACTCTTTATGGTCAGAACATGACAAACACTTCACGTTTTTGAATTGTTTACACTTTTCCAGTCATTTTTCCTTAACAAAATAAACATCCTAATAGAGAAATTAATTTCTTAGTTTCTGCATGTTCTAATGAGTGATATTGTTTCAGATCATGTCACAGGTTTGTGTTCCTGACGTCGAGGTGTATCTTCAGCACAGTTTGCAGTGCAGGCTGCGATGTTTATAATATTGTATTGTTTTGTCTCTCAGAAATGCAGATTTGACAGTAGCTTGAGTTAGGATTCAGATGTAAATTTATGTTCATCAAAAACGGAAACATCTGTAAAAATTGTAACAACCTCATTTCATTTTTATATGGATAAATGCTCCACTGCGCTGATTTTTTTTGAAAATTAAATTGCAATAATTATCGTTATCATTTTAATCACCCAGCCCCCCCTAACCAAACTGTATGAATAATTGTTGTAATAGGCAGAATCATGTAAAATCTGATCATAAACACAAAGTAAACCCTCATTTTATTCATGATCTTGAATGTCATCTCCTTGCAATAAACAGGCCACCTGAGCTTGTGCCAAATGTGTGAAATTTGAGAGCTCTACGACAGCGAATGACCTCCGAGACGCAACATGAAATCCATCCAATCTGTGTTCGCATGTCGACCCCTAGTTTATGCCATTTAAGCTAATTAATCCGTTATTTATTCTTTCCGGAAAATGTGACGGTGTCTAAATTTGCCTTGTTAGAAATGCCATTGTTCCAGTGTTTTGTTGTTTTTCAAATATAAAATGTTCCCTATTCAGAGTCATGTCGGAAATAATAGAATCAAGTTTCCTAATAATTTCTCTCTGTGTGCATTTTCAGATTTGAGTGGGACAAACTTCTGGAGAATGTGCATTGTTTGATTATAAGTGTGACGAAGACTGACAAGCGGGAAGCTTATATACTCAGGTGAGCTATTGACTCGTCTGTCCTGACTTAGAGGACAGGATTGTGACGAATGCAATCAAACCAGGAACTTGCGTTATTTATAGCAACATTACAGCCCACGCTGATTTAAAGATCAATTGAGAATATTGCGCAGTTCAGAAATGCGTGTTACATAAGTTGCAAATATTGTTTCATGTTGTTTTTAAAAACTAAATACAGGTGTGAAAGCTCTAATAAGAAATGCTACTGGCTCATTGCTGGATATAGACATAGTGAGCATAAAGCTTGGCGTTTCTACGAGTGTACTGTTTGCACACTGATCTTATACTCACAGCTGATCAGCACACAGCAGCATTTCAGCTTAGAGATGCTCAAAAGCTGATGAGACTAATATGAAAGGCATTTGTGTGACTTTCACAGTCATGGGGGTTAATGATTCAGTGCAGACTAAACGCGTCCTGCTAAGCCGTTTATTTAGTCTGAGAGACGAAGGGTCAAAGCTATTCATAGCTGTCTGGAGAGAAAAAAGCTGGATGGATTTTTACTTTTTTAAATGTTGCTGAAATGGCATTAAAGTTCCTGAAAGTAAAAACACAAAACAAACAGGTCAAACAAGGAAGAAGACCTAATAATTAGCATTGTTTTATTCATCATTATAGCCATACATGCCACACGGTGGCTTCCATAGACACTTTTGAATGTCAAAAATAGGGCTGTCGCGATAACCGCAATATCGCAATACCGCGCTATTGAAGAGCAAACCGCAGTGAAATGCGAGAACCCTTTCCACCACCTTGTGGCGCAACACTGTAACTGCACTGACTTGTCAGCCCGTCTAGAACGCGTGCGTGCAGGTGGAAATATCAATAGAAAGTCTCTTGTCCAGTCAGATTAGAAGATCAGATCAGAACTAACTGTTATACATATATCCTAACGATCTTATTGTCAGGTTTATGTTCTGTTATGTGGACCGTTATTTAGTCGTTCTCTTCTGTTTACTTCACTTCCTGTTTCAACGCTATTTGGTTTCGGTTTCATTGGTTTCTGAATATGACCTCGTTAGTTATATCGTAACACATACACACACAGATTATATATATATGTGTGTGTGTGTGTGTGTGGCGATAATACCGCATACCGCGCTATTGAGCCACTCAAAATTACCGCAAGGGAAATTCCCTCACCGCGACAGCCCTAGTCAAAAATGCATCAGAGTTTTGAACCCATCAATTAAAATTGACAGTTCAAGAGAACTCGTTCCTAAAACTTGTAATGCAATGAGCGGGTGTGGGAAAAGTGCATTGAAGTCATTGATATTCACAATGTGGATTCATTTTATATTGAAAAAAAAAGTATTATGGAAAATATTGTGAATGGCCCACTTTGCTGTAACATTTAGAAATTGAGCCATAATTTAAAGGATTAACCACTCCTACATGACTCTCTCTCTCTGCCTCTCCTAGTGAGAGTAGCATGTTTGTCTCCAAGAGACGTTTCATTTTGAAGACATGCGGAAGCACCCTCTTACTGCAGGCACTGGTGCCACTGCTGGAGCTGGCTCGTGAGTACTGCGGCTTTGATGCCATCGAGGTACGACACACACACACACACACTCAGGTGCATGTTTAGGGAAGGATAATGTTTTAATGAAAACATTAAAAGCTCTGTCAAACACATCGGGTTCAGTTCACATGAGGTTCACACTGAAGAGAATGAGTCCGTTTACACATGATGTCATAGATGAATCATTGGCAGTATTCAGCACAAAGTATCTTTATGAAAATGTGACCTGATCATCTCATTTTCTTTTCAGAATTTCTTCTATTCTCGTAAAAATTTTATGAAGCCCACCCATCAAGAGTTCCCTCACCGCAACTTCCAGGAGGAAGTCGAGTTCCTCAGCCAGATTTTTCCAAGTACGGTTTCACACCATAAAAAATGGACTAGAATTATGCATGCATTATGAATTAAATGGTAATAAATTAGTATTGTCTGCAGGGGCGGACTTTGTAATTTGGGGGCCCCAGGCAAAATATAGGAATCGTGGCCCTATACAGTTGCACACATTTACCTAGATCAGCCTTTGATATTCCTTTTTTTGTTGTGATGCTTGCTGCTGCACAATGGTGCCCCACAGTTGTGTCCAAGGTTTCTACATTTTTCATGTACATGTTATAATGGCTTTCTTTCATGCTGTAGACCACGAAATAGCAACTGATTTACAGCTTTCACAAAAACAAAATAAATTATAAAATAATAAACCTCGCAATTGAGACTTTAAACCATTTTGTAAGAAAAGAGATGAGTCGGAAGTATAAATTATGATATTAATTTAAAACGGGGTTATGTGGGTGGATTTTCGCATTGGTCTGAACAAAAACTGCAGACGGGATTATTGAAAATGCACATTCATTCTCTGCCAGCAGGAGGCGCTTTTGGAACATCAGAAATACAGCGGTTTCCCCGGCTGTAAACAAAGCAGCGCTGCGCTCATAAACGCTACGTTATCAGATAAAATGAAAATGCCAGCAAAAACTTTTCTGAAGACAGTCGTACCCTTCAGAGATTCATTCATAGAAAAACTTGAATTTGTGAGAATGAGAAAAATATAGCCTATATTGAGGAGGAAAGTCCACTGATGAGTTACCAGCGTAAGCCTGTGTGCCAAAGGCGGTCTAATTCTAAACTTTAAAACGCACTTATTTTAGTTATTTTAACTGCAAATTTAAATGAAAATGGAAAAAAAAAATATTATAGAAATCATACATTTACCCACCAAAGGATTATATCAACCAAACAAGTAACTGCGTATGCGTCCTCTACTTGGGTCCTTCTCATAAATAAGCGGCATTTAAAACAATAAATATATAATACGCACTGTTGCGCAATATTTAATTACAGCTTCAGATGCATGATATTTTCATTTGCTACAAGCAGGATACACTAGAAGTGTGTTCAACTCGGACACGCAGACGGTTGCCGTGATGATAAACACATGTCAGCGCTTAATGCGCATCTCGTATATGAAAAGCATTTTAGGGGGCCCAAGGCGGTCGCCTACCTTTGCCTAATGGGTAAGTCCGCCTCTGATTTGAAAGTTACATTTATAGTTTTTTTTTTTAATGTGCAGATGGAGCAGCCTACTGTATGGGACGTCTGAACTCAGACTGCTGGTGAGCCGTTTTACATCTACTAGACTTCCTACAATCTATATCTGACTTCAGATAAATGATCATTAGTAAATGTTAAACGTTGCACATGCATCCGACTTTTTTCCTCTGTCAGCAAGGCCACATTTTAGCATTGATAAGCATTGAAAATTGTTTCATAAATAATTAAATACAACTGTTCCAAATCAAACTGTTTGATTATTTTGCGTTTTGGGGGAAAACTCATCAACTGATGTCCATTTAGATGACATTTACATGGTATTCTTCTCCTTTCTGTCCTGAAGGTATTTGTTTACGCTGGAGCTGCCAGAATACTGGGAGAATAAGCAGGCGGACCAGACACTAGAAGTTCTGATGAGTGACCTCGACCCGGCTGTGATGGACCAGTTCTTCATGAAAGACGGTGTTTCTGCTAATGATGTCACTCGTGTACGATTCGTCCTCAGTACTTCTGCTCTAGAGTCTCATTGTGTTCTTTTATTTCTGAAATTTCCACTAACTACCACCTAAAACTACTGCTAACATTTGTGAGCCTGGACCACAAAACCAGTCATAAGGGTCAATTTTTCGAAATTGTGATTTATACATCATCTGAAAGCTGAATAAATATTATGTTATGATAGGACGATATTTGGCTGAGATACAACTATTTGAAAATCTGGAATCTGAGGGAGCAAAAAAATCTAAATATTGAGAAAATCATCTTTAAAGTTGTCCAAATGAAGTTCTTAGCAATGCATATTACTAATCAAAAATTAAGTTTTGATATATTTACAGTAGGAAATTTACAAAATATCTTCATGGAACATGATCTTTACTTAATATCCTAATGATTTTTGGCATAGAAGAAAAATCTATAATGTTGACCCATACAATGTATTGTTGGCTATTGCTACAAATATACCCCAGCGACTTAAGACTGCTTTTGTGCTCCAGGGTCACATTTCAGAAAGCACCAAATGTGCCGTGTTAGAACTTTGATCATCTTTGAAGTACCATGGTTTATGCACATGCACACCGCAGTCGTTTTTTGCGAGGGTGTCTTCAGTGTTTATCTGTGGTGTCTTCACAGATGAGTGGAATTCGTGACCTGATTCCAGGTTCAGTGATTGATGCCACAATGTTCAACCCTTGTGGATACTCCATGAATGGAATGAAAACGGATGTGAGGAGACATTTAAAGCTGGGTGTTTCTTTGTAAGTTGCTCTGTGTTCTGCAGCGTGATTGAGATGGGTTGTCTTTCTAGGGAACTTACTGGACGATTCACATCACCCCCGAACCGGAGTTCTCCTATGTCAGCTTTGAAACCAACCTCTCCCAGACGTCTTACGACGAGCTTATCCACAAAGTCGTGGATGTCTTCAAACCAGGGAAATTTGTGACAACGCTTTTCGTCAATCAGGTACGTTGTTACGCAACTAATCGGTGTCTGCAATAATGAATGATTAATTATTTATGTACATTCTATTTAGTGCTGTCAAACGATTAATCGCATCCAAAATAAGTTGTTGTTTACATGATATGTGTGTGTACTATGCATATTTATGTATAAATACACACATGCATGTGTATATATTTAAAAAATGTCTACATGTAAATATATATTTATATTCAAATATAATTTATATTATATATAAATATTAATATTTTAAATATAAACAAAACATTTTTCTTAAATATATACATGCATGTGTGTGTATTTATATACACATAATAAATATACACAGTTCACACACATTATGTAAACAAAAATGTACATTTTGGATGCGATTAATCGTTCGACAGCACTAATTATTACTTGTGAATTGATTGCTCTGCATATTTACTAGTGCTCTCAAACGATTAATCGCATACAAAATAAAAGTTTTTGTTTGCATATGTGTTCTATGCATATTATGTATACATAAATACACACACATACAGTATATATTTTGAAAATATTTGCATGTATTTACATGTCTATTTATATTCATATAATTTATATTATAAATAAATATATTTAATATATAAACATAACCTACAGTATTATTCTGAAATGTATACATGCATGTGTGTGTATTTATCTATACATAATAAATATACACAGCACACATACGTATATCATGTAAACAAAAACTTTTATTTTGGATGCGATTAATCGCATTTTGAAAATGTGTACATTTATTTAAATGTATGTATTTATATTCATATCATTTATATTATATATAAATATATTTAATATATAAACATAACATATTTTTCTGAAATATATACATGCATGTGTGTGTATTTATATACACATAATAAATATACACAGTTCACACACATTATGTAAACAAAAATGTACATTTTGGATGCGATTAATCGTTCGACAGCACTAATTATTACTTGTGAATTGATTGCTCTGCATATTTACTAGTGCTCTCAAACGATTAATCGCATACAAAATAAAAGTTTTTGTTTGCATATGTGTTCTATGCATATTATGTATACATAAATACACACACATACAGTATATATTTTGAAAATATTTGCATGTATTTACATGTCTATTTATATTCATATAATTTATATTATAAATAAATATATTTAATATATAAACATAACCTATTTTTCTGAAATATGTACATGCGTGTGTGTATTTATATATACATGATAAATATACACAGCACACATACACATATTATGTAAACAAAAACTTTTATTTTGGATGCGATTAATCGCAATTAATCGTTTTGACAGCACTAATAGTACTAATGCATATGTGACCCTGGAGCACAAACGCAGTCTTAAGTCGCTGGGGTATATTTGTAGCAATAGCCAACAATACATTGTATGGGTCAAAATTATTGCTTTTTCTTTTATGCCAAAAATCATTAGGATATTAAGTAAAGATCATGTTCCATGAAAATATTTTGTAAATTTCCTACTGTAAATATATCAAAACTTAATTTTTGATTAGTAATATGCATTGCTAAGAACTTCATTTGGACAACTTTAAAGATGATTTTCTTAATATTTAGATTTTTTTGCACCCTCAGATTCCAGATTTTCAAATAGTTGTATCTCGGCCAAATATTGTCCTATCATAACAAACCATACATCAATGGAAAGCTTATTTATTCAGCGTTCAGATGTATAAATCTCAATTTAAAAAAATGGACCCTTATGACTGGTTTTGTGGTTCAAGGTCACATGTGTGGTATCAAATTGTTTTGATGTTCTAAAAATAACTCATGCAAAGTCGGTGTTTGGTTGTATTTATTGTTGCTGAAGCCTAGCTCTGATTGGCAGCTTCCACACTTGACTAGCCGTCAGTGGCTTCCAGTGTTGACGTTGTGATTTGGAGCGTTCACACTCATTCTTCTCGTTCCCAACAGAGCTCCAAATGTCGCAGCGTTTTCACTTCGGCTCAGAAGCTGGAGGGTTACCGCCTCCTGGACCGCCAGTCGGCGCACTTCAACGACTACAACTTCGTCTTCACCAGTTACGCCAAGAGCCGCCAGCAGAAGCAGAGCTGAACCTCCGAAATGAAGAAGCGTAAAAAGAAATCGTGCGGCTGGCGGCATTTGTGCGTGGAGTCTTCTGGCTGTAGATCTTCCCCGAGTTTAACGTTTATGCATACCTGTACCTGTGACGTAGATATCGTGCATGAAAGCTCTTCTCGTGTCTCTGTAGATATTCTAGCCCATTCTTGCTGTGATCTTGAAGTGCATGTAGAGCTCTTGAACGTGGATGTGAGGCATGTCACACCATCATCCCAGTACATGCAATGCTCCCTTCCCTTCCTGCAAGTGTCCCCTCGCATCCCCCACAGACAGGGTTTCCGACCTCACTAGACAAGGACCCTGACACGCTCAGATCTGTCTTGCCTCCCGACCAATCCAAAAGCAACGTCTTTTTATCGGTTTATCGGTTTGCGAAAAAGGGGTTTTTGGGGGGGGGGTTCCATTTACATTGCATTTTCTCTTGACTTAAATACACGTGACGTTGGTTATTTAAATTGCAGCTCATTTTCAATGTATGTGTTCAGCTCAACTGTGTATAGCTAGCTAACTTTTCTGTGACTGTGAAGATGTCCTGAAGACAAACCTGAAGTATTCCTCGTCCGTCTTCTTTTCTTTAACCCTGCAGACGGCTGTCTTTATCCGGTGTGCTAGAGAAGTGAATGTGAGTAGCTTAACCGTCACCTTCAATGTCGAGAGCCTGCTCTGCTTTTAGAGACTCTCGTCTCTCGTTTGAGTAATACGCTCGTTAGATGGTTAGCATTAAGTGGAACTTCGATCAGGTAGCTAATATTTCCATTCTGTCTTTTTATCGGTTTATCGGTTTGCGAAAACGGGGTTTTGGGGGGGTTCCATTTACATTGCATTTTCTCTTGACTTAAATACACGTGACGTTGGTTATTTAAATTGCAGCTCATTTTCAATGTATGTGTTCAGCTCAACTGTGTATAGCTAGCTAACTTTTCTGTGACTGTGAAGATGTCCTGAAGACAAACCTGAAGTATTCCTCGTCCGTCTTCTTTTCTTTAACCCTGCAGACGGCTGTCTTTATCCGGTGTGCTAGAGAAGTGAATGTGAGTAGCTTAACCGTCACCTTCAATGTCGAGAGCCTGCTCTGCTTTTAGAGACTCTCGTCTCTCGTTTGAGTAATACGCTCGTTAGATGGTTAGCATTAAGTGGAACTTCGATCAGGTAGCTAATATTTCCATTCTGTTTGAAGAGATGTTCTTCATCTGCTTTACAAGTACCAGAGAAGTGAACGTTTCAAAAGATGAGTTACTTAACTGTTGCCTTGTGTGTTAACAACATATAATCTGCAATATATAGCCATTATGGTGAAAGTCAACTGTTGTCTTCCTTTCCTCAAATAAAATGGCCTGTATTAAAAAAACAAAAACAAAAAAAACATTAGTTAGTTGAAAGGTGACGATGTGTTATATAGAAGAATGGATTTTTCTGAATAATGTAGCAAGTGTAGAAGAAGCCATTACACGTGTGTGTGACAGAAAGAGGGAATGGTGTTTGCCTTCCGTCATTGTGAAGGACCCTGGGGCTGTCCAGCGCAGAGCCTGCTTTGAATTGAAACAGTTGGACAGACACTTTGCTTTCGTGTGCCGATCGCACAGCAAAGCATTCTTCTTTTTCTAAACAAAACGAGTTCTGTCTTTTTCTCTAGAGTAAGCACACAATAGGCACGCACTGATCTGAGCATGTCAGGGCTGACCCGGATCATTCCACACCCCACGCCTGCAAAAAGTGCAGTTTTGTTTTTTTGCAGTAGATTTGTACACCTCTCCAGATCATGCCGTCTTTGTGCATTGAGAGGTTTTTCTCACATGTGCTCTTGCAGGCGACTAGCGTGTCTCCGCTTCAGCCCTTTGTAACATTACCGTGTTTAATTTCTGATTGTACGATGTAACAGACTTGCTGATGGAGATCCCAAGTTGTGAGGAGGATGATGTTTCTGTTATGTCTCTTTAAATGCAAAAAAACCAAAGCAATTCAGTTTGATTTAACAGACACTATAGGTGTCAGATGTGGACCACTGCTGGGAGAAATAACATGAACATGATCGCATATCACACCTAGTACTTTTTCAGTGAAGGGGTGGTAGTTCCAAACATTCTTCAGGTCTTTATATGGGATTTATACATTATACACGAGTGGAGGGGGGAGACATTGATGTTGCGGACCAAGTATATATATATATAAATTTTTCTGACCCTGTTCTGAGCTGGGGAGTGACCTTTTCAGATGATTTGGACCTGTTTTCCTCTTTCTATTAGTTCTTGCTAGCCTGTGTTGTTGGTTGGTAAGACAACTCTATAGAAAGGATTCTGTCGCGGGACTTTCACAGGAAGTTGGGAAGGAAAGGGAAACTTTGCTGTTCCAGTTCTCTTGCCATTTCCTTGGTTGGTCAAGATGTGCTAAATATATCTGTACTAAGAGCTTGATGCTTTCAATAAAGTTAATAACCATCAGCTGAGTACTTCTGATTTTATTTTATTAAGTTTTTGTGCATTGCCTAGAATGCGCTGCTGTATACCAATATGATATTTGGCTGGGTTAAGTGGATTCAGATTGAAAATGTAATGTTTTATTTTATGGTACATTTAAGTTTAAAAACATTTTAGCAACTATTTTTTTTTTTTTTATTTAATGATAAATTATGACTTTCAATTTACACAAGTTACCTTATTTTACCTTTCATAATGTGGGTCTTAAAAATGTCTTAAGTAGTAATTCACCCTTCCTTAAATTCATAAAGGCCTTAAAAAGTCTTAGGCCTGGTTTCACAGGCAGCGCTTAGACTAAGCCAGGATTAGGCCATAGTTCAATTAGGACATTTATGTAATTTTTATAAACATGACTTAGAAAAAAGCATTGCTTGTGTGCATCTTGAGACAAAACAAGGGCACTGATATATTTTAAGAGCAATCCGTGCAAGTTTCTTTCAGTTGAAACGGCTCAGACTTACATTTTAGTCTAGGACTAGGCTTAAGCCTTGTCTTTGAAACCAGGGGATAAACCAGGACATAAAATTATGCATACACTGCAAAAAATAATACAAAAAAATAATCATATATATATATAGATCTTTTTTTTTTTTCAGTACCAATATCTAAACCTCCTTAAATCAAGATACATTTACTTGAGATGCAAACTGGAAATATGAAGTCTTGTTTTCTGAATCGGACGAAATAGAGTTTAAAACAAGAACAAATGTGTCATTGGGGTAAGAAAACATGTTTTCCCTTTGAATAAGTTCGATTTTTTTTTGAGCCCACTGGCAGATATTGGTTCAATTTAATTGTAAACTCACTTCATTTTGATCAATTTTTCAAAAAGTGGGCCATTTAAGCTTGACTGTGCTGTGCTCAATGAGTTTACACCTTCAGAGCATAACAATGATCTTAAATTAAAGGGACACGCTTTCTTCAAATGATAAAGTAGTTTTGGCTGATGCAATAAGACCCTGGTGATTGTAGTTTTTCTTGCAAGGTGGTTGAATATTGCTGGCCCACTGAATGTGCTCGATAAAGTGTGCAACCTTGAACCGTCACTAATTCTACTCGCATTCATTAAATAATCTGACATTCACTGATTATTCTATAATCGGCTTATATAATTAACACTTTAAAAAACATGAGTGTAGACCGGAAATTCAGGTCAGATATGGAAGAAAGGAAAGAGCAGAAGTGCAGAGGTTGGCGATGCATGAAGTTGAATCTGGAGTTAAAAAAGTACGCGAGAAGTGAAATACAGCTTTATAAGGTTTGACAATATTACATTTGAAATGTTCCTCTTATTTCGTTTTTTCTTAGCCTATTAGTTGCATGTGTTAGTCACTTTTTACATTTGACTTTCATCAAAATGCTGTGAATTCAAATGAAAATATTACAGCTGAATCTCAGACATAATAAAGAAAAGGAAAGGAACATCTGGGTTAATTACAAATTTAATAAAAAGTGTCCCCCTTTGCATGAATTCACCCAGATTAATATTCATGAGCTAAGCCTTCGCCACAGTAGGATTTGTACAGTGCCAGACAGCTCACCACTGAAGTTCAGTTATAAATGCTGAAATATTTCTGTCGAAACGTCTTAACCAACAAGAAATGAGTTCACTTGTAACGACTCAATTGCATGACAGTCTTAGCGGAGCACAACTCTGTCACTGGTTTTATTCCATTTTCACCTCCTCCACCTTCACCTGCAGTCCATATATATGCATCAACAACTCCACAAACCTTTTAGAACTTCACAAACATTGCCTAGATTTGCAAACAAATGGACAGATTTTACTTTACATGTAAAAAATGAATCATAAGGTGTTTTTTAACATCGTTCACAGCTGAAATCAGGAAGTTCTTAGGAAACCCGCTCTGTTGACACACAGTAACAGTTACGGTGGTCAGCTGTAATACTTCGATCTCTTAGGACTGCGACTGCGGCTGCGATCTCGTCTGTAGCGTTTGTGCTCGCCATCTCTCTCTCTGCCTCGGTCTCTCTGTTTCTCCTTCTCTCTTCCCTTGTCCCAGCCCCTCTCGCGCTCCTTGTGTCTCTCTCGGTCTCTTGAACGTGAACGCTGTCTGCCTTTATCCTTTTCTCTCCGACTCTCATCACGATCCTATAAAAGCAGGAGGAAAAAAACGAAAACAAATGATGAGACACGGAAGAGAATACGGAGAAGACTGCTCCCAGAAAAACGTGACCGATTTTTAGTAACTGATTCACAAATATAGAGAATTTCTACATGATGAGCATAAAAAAAAATACATGTATTACAGTATTCTTTGAAAAACAGAACATTCCAAAGAACAGCAATTTCTCTGAAATAGAAAGATTTTGTATATCATGTGTTCCTGTGGCTCAGTGGTAGAGCATTGCGTTAACAGCGCAAAAGTTCGTGGGTTCGATTCCCAGGGAACACACATACTGGTCAAAAATGTATAGCCTGAATGCACTGTAAGTCGCTTTCGTCTGCTAAATGCATAAATTATTTATTATTATTTAAATCATCTAATGTCGTGTGCTATGTTGCCCTCACAGGTCAGCTGGAGATAAGTGAATGTCTCCATCTCGAGGTTTTTTTAACATCACAGCACGATGTTCTGAAGCTGTAATTTTCCATTGCTTTGGGTTGATCATTGAGGAAGACACAACAAAGATTATTCAATAAACAATAAGCTCATGTTTACCATCACTATCTCCTGCTTCCTGCTGTTTTCCTGCCTCTTGGGCTGATAAAGGTACTGACTGTTTTATCAGCCTGAGCCTGATATTCCTGTATAGCCAAATGGTCCAGTAAGACACTTACAAAAGTCCATTTTTTGGTTCTCAAATCACTCTTAGAGGATGCCATAAGATCCCATTCATTTCCTTTCACTCTCTGGTGGGCAGCTGTGCCACAGGGACTCATAGGGACATCATTTGATGTCCAAAAGTAAAATCTGGCTCCTGGAGCAAAACCTGCCATCTATTCAAATCCACAGCATTGTACCTTTGACTTTTTGTCCTTGGGCCTCTCGTCTGAATGCCGTTTCCGGTCTCTTTTCTCTCTGTCGTCCTTCCTTCTCTCATCCTCATCTTCATCTAAGAGAAGCTCATAACGGGAGCTTTAGGAGACAGTCAAGAAATACTGACTTGAGCTTTTTTTGATAACCACTTTAGGACACAGACGTCAAATCAAACTGGATCCTCTTAGCTTTTCTAACACATGTTTCTGGTCTTACTGTAAATGATTCATCAAGAGCATGTTGTTATTCCAGTGGAGAACTATTTGCAATGCATTTAATC